CTCACTCAGCTTTGAACAGAGTTAGTCAGAGTAAGAATGATGCTGTTTACAGAGTCTGTTAACCTACACAAGTTGGTACATTAGCATTTACAATCAATCATCTGACTGCCACTGCTCCATCTTGGCATCCTAAGCAGCATCCTCATGCCATCATTGTAAGTGACCGGGAGTTTATGTATACTGCTTTTCCAGTAATGCTGCCACAGGTGGGCAGTACACATTGTAGTACAATACGTTTTAAAGAGTGCAGTTTTGACAGATGATGAGTGCATAGAGAACTTCCGAAAGAGCATTTTAGCTTGTAAATATTGCATACAACGCTGCTTGTAAATGTCTATCATCAGACAGGTCAGTGGCAATGTAAGGTCCCAAATATTTGGCTTCATCAGTAACTTTGAGGATGCTGCTAGACAGGGTGAAGTCAGGAAAATATCATCTTGTGTCTTCTTTGTTCTTGACAATCATGATGGTGCTCTTTTTTGCATTATGTTTAATATCATATGCTAAATCATACTGTGAGCAAACCCTTAACAGTTGTTGCAGACCAGCATGTTAGGGACAAAAGATCACAAGTTCGTCAGCATACATCAGGCGGGTTGATGGTTCTATTGCCAACCTGACAGCCAGTCCAACATTGACTCAACAGCTTTGATAAATCATCCACATACAGGTTGAAATGGCAAGGAGATAAAATGTTGCCTTGCTGCTCTCACCATTACCCGTATTAAAAGAGGACAATACAGATTTTCCCCATTTTACAGATTTAGTTTGGTGAGCATACCGATACACTAATATTCTTACTAAATATTTCGGAACTCCTCTCTCATGTAATTTATAAAACAATTTTTCATGATTGACATGATTAAATGCTTTTGATGCATCTATTGAAGACATAAAAATTGTGGGATGAATCTAAAGTTTTCTTGAGAGCAAAATGCACGTCAGTGAAACCAAACTGGTTATCACGTGACTATGAACTTCTCAATTCTATTTAACATTGCTCTCTCAGAAACTTCTGATGAAGTACTGGCCAGAGCTACAGGCCGAATGTTGTCTTTGCTATTTATTTTAGCTTTATCTTTTACAATACTAAAATCACAGACAATGTAGAATTTGGTAAAATGCCATGAATTAAAAACCCAGTGAAACAAATGGCCAACAAAGGGAACATTTTCTTACTAGCAAATTTTAAATCTTAACTGCACCACATTCCTTATTTTTTTTCAACTTCATAGCAATATTACTAACTTCTTCACTAACATGCATGTCTATGTTGTCTAACACAAAAGGATTACTTTGACTACAATTAAACAGTTCATAATAATGTCCCTCCATAAGTGAATAACTTTGTCTGGTCTGTTTACACCATCAATGTTTGTTGGCAAGAATGTTTTTAGACTGTTGACTCTTAGTTTCTTTCCAAAATTTAGTGAGACTATTATGTTGTAATTTCTTTTCAAGTGATTCAGATTTAAGTGCATTTTCATCCCTCTTGATAAACTTTAAAGCATATTTAAAATGAGCATTTGCCCGCTTCTTGTGGTCAAATAGGGGACCATGTCTAGGTTTTCCTGGTTCAGCCCACAGTTTGAAAGTCGTTCTGGCCTCTACATTAAGCTCTTTTGCATAATCATTCCACCCTGGCATTGTGCTTTTTAGTTTTATACAAAGACCTACCTGAGATACGGAGGGATTCTTCAACCTTCTCACACAGTGAGCACAACTCTTTGCCATGTTACTAATTTTTACAGTTTATGTCTTAATATATAGCTGCACTTTTGGCAAAACAATACCGTTCAACAAGCTTTTAGAGTGGCTGCAGAACAGACTAAGATTCTGCTCAGTGAAATTGTCCAAATTTATTTTCTCTTCTTCGGTGTCATTTCTCATGGGCTAAAGGTCCAGTAAATTGTCCATTTTATAGACAAAGAGAAAGGGGTCTGATCAAATGTTACAATTTCCTACTTAATCCTGATGGTCTCTAAAGAGTCAAGTGCATCATCAGGAGAGATACAGTGGTCTAATCATGATGTTGTGTTCCATGCTTCACTGATGGAAGTGTTGCTGTCAACAGGCAAGAGCATTTTACTTGAGAGAATCGACTCATTAGCTAAACAAAACTTGCTGATACGTCAGCATTCATATCACCCACAGTAAAAAAAGAAGTGGATGGGTCATCCTGGATATAGGACACAAGATCAGTGTTGAAAAAGTACAGAAAACTCAGAGTTAAGTGAAAGTATAGGTACCTCTCCAAAATATGACTTTGGTAAAAGTTCAAGTCACTGAAATGTTACTTGAGTTAAAGTCTTAAAGTATCTGAAATGTCTTGTACTTAAGTATGGAAGTTACTGTAAAAATGGATGTACTCAAGTAATGTAATGAAAAGCATAAGTAAAAAGTAAAACAAGGCAAATGGAGTTTGAATGACATTTTTTATATTTTGGTAAACTTGTCAAATACACTTAAAATAATGTACACAACCAAGTGCAGGCAAAATGAAACCTGCTAATAGATAAACCTGTAGGCATCATTTAGTTAAGAAAATTAGATGCTTTACCTTACAATACATCAAAGATCTGCTGTTGTTGTATCAACCTTCCAGACTCTCAGGTTCTGGTTCTGGTTCTGTTTTGCATCCCCAGAACCAGAACCAAGAGAGGAGAAGCAGCTTTCAGCATCTATGCACCAAAAATGTTGAACAAACTTCCAGAAAACTGTGAAACAGCAGAAACCCTGACTTCCTTTAAATCTCAATTAAAACACACCTGTTTAGAATTGTTTTTGAAATGTAATATGTAACAATGTATTGTTTATTCTATGCTGCATGACTTTGTGTTCTTGTGTTTATGATGTAAAGCACTTTGAAATGCCCTGCTGCTGAAATGTGCTATACAAATAGAATTTGATTGATTGATTGATTGATTGATTGATTGATTGATTGATTGATTGATTGATTGATTGATTGATTGATTGATTGATTGATTGATTGATTGATTGATTGATTACCTAAACCACAAGGTTAACTTAATCTGCTTTACAACAACCAGCTTCTTAGTAAACCCTCCAGGACAGAAAATACAAAGTTTTTGTAAGCCTTAAGTTTTCCCTTTCAGTAAGGTCAGTGCTGAAAATGAGAAAAATAAATAGTCAGTACAGAAAATGCGGAAAACATGAAGAAAAAAAGCCGTTACGATTACTCTACTTCACAAACTATATATATAGTTTGTGAAGTATATATATATATATATATATATATATATATATATATATATATATATATATATATATATATATATATATATATATATATATATATATATATATATATATATATATATATATATATATACAATATGAACCACACTCCATACCAGTAAGTGGCGGTAATGCTACTAGAAGTTTGTTGCCAACCGCCAATAAACTCAATAATAATAATAAGAATGTTAACTGAAGCGGGAACACCGCGTGACCCACAATGAACCGCGCCAGTCCAAGCTGCAACAAAACCTATGTTAGCGAGTGTGTGTGTTTGTGTGTGTGTGTGTGTGTGTGTCAACTCTTTAATTAGGTCCTAACTCGTGACGGCTCCTCTGTCACAGTAACCAGTAACTAAACCACACATTGAAAATGTATCAGAGTAAAAATATGCAATTAATTTCGGAAATATAGTGAAGTAAAAGTGAAAGTTATCAAAAATGTTCATACTTGAGGAAAGTATGAAGTAGTCCAAAATATACTTAAGTAAAGTAGTGAAGTATTTTTACTTCATTACTACACAACACTTAACAAGATAGGCCAGCCTATTAAGATATACGTCTTCAGTCTTAGGTCTTTCATAAGATGTGTATATATTCAATATGATTATAAACTTTTTATTTCCAAAACTGAACTCAGCTCCTATTGCCCAGTCATCCTCCAGATTGATCACTTTAATCAGCTGATTGTAACTTTTATGCCACAACACTGCAATGCTGGCAGAAATTATGCCCTGCACTAACTTGGCCAGTGGTAGATTGACCTCCAGCATAAAAATGTTCAAGCAGGGATTTGAGTCTTTCTAGGTCCTGCTTGAATAAAAAGTGTCTTCTTGGTTGCACAATACAACACACGTTTCCAGAAGTTTATCCATCACAAGAAGATGTGATTTGTCTGTATGTCCTACACTCAACCCACACACATTATGTGACACAATATTAATGCTCCAAGGTTTTTGTTCGTACTTGCTTGGGTTTCCGTTGCCTCTCAGGTTCGGTACGTCTCTGCTCAGCTGCTCCATTCGGCTAAGCAGAGTTTACACATCCATGCTGCTCATCCAGGTAGTGTGAGACTAACCTTGTCAGGTTAGACATGGTTTGTGTTTGAATTCACAACAAGCGCTTGAACTCTTCAAGCCATTCAGATGAAAAATTGCTTGACACCAACAATACAATTTCATCTTTTGAGAGAGGCCTCATTTTGATGACAATAAAGTTTAAAAGTTCATCCTCTATTATTATTCTCTCACCTGCTGTTTTATATACAAAAATCTCAGATTTTGTTTAAGAACCTCCACTACCCACTGCTGCACTTGCAGCCATCTTGTCAAATCCCAAATTCAAACTGTGGATTTAAAAATATGTATTGCTTATCATTTTGTCAGTGAGGTTCTGATCCAGTGCTGGACATTTCTGCTCCAGCTACTGTCTCAAATATACATTCAATATTCTTCTCATCTGGTCCAGTCTGTTCATAAACACAGAGCAGCATATTTAACAGAAACATAATAGGCCTGATATGATTACATATGGTTATCTGGTCTCTGTGTTTGCATTGATTTATGCATCTTTTAATCAGAAGCTTCTTCTCTGGAACAAGAATCATTTAAGGCCAACAAATGAAATTGCTCTAATAATCATATTAGATGCTGTAATTTTATTTTTTTTTTAAACCATTTTTGCTCAATAAGATAATAAGATGACAGTTGAGTCAAAGCTCTTTTCTTCCCTACTTGCTTGCAGAGCGAATCAGTCAAATACTTCCTGGACAATTTGGACCGTATTGGACAGCTGGTGAGTCTCACTCAAATAATCTATCTATGTCTTCATACAAAAAAATGACTCTCTCCTGTTTTCAGAGCTATATTCCAAGCAAGCAAGATATTTTGTTTGCAAGAAAAGCGACCAAAGGGATTGTTGAGCACGACTTTATCATCAAAAAGATTCCTTTCAAAATGGTGGATGTTGGGGGTCAGAGGTCACAGCGACAGAAGTGGTTTCAATGTTTTGATGGGATTACATCAATTCTTTTCATGGTGTCTTCTTCAGAATATGACCAGGTAAGTGCATTCTAAAGCTCATATGCATGCATCAGAATCTAAAGGTCAGGCTAAATATTCATTTTAAATGCACACAAATTTAAGAACTTAACAGCACACAGAAATCATTTTATAGAAAGGAGATGTTGAACCATTCCTCCTCACACAGTTCTGGTTCCTCACTTACGTTCTCTCATCCCAGCTAACCAAACAGGTTGTCTGAGCAAATAACATGCACAGTTATTTTGAGACTATTTTCACTCCAGTAAGATGGGAGTGTTACAGGTTTTCTGTAACACTTCCATCTTACAGGAGTGAAAATAGTGTTACAGAAAACCTGTAACACTCCCATCTTACTGGAGTGAAAATAGTCTCAAAATAACTGTGCATGTGTAAAAAAATCTGTGCATGTGTTACTGGATTTGTAACTCGTGTCAGCATCTTTGTGTGTAACTTTGGATAGTTGTGTCTGTGAAACATGATTTGTAAACCGTAAAAAGAAAATAAACCTTCTCCTTCGCCTACAAATGTTGAAAAAGTACACACCACACAAAACTCTATTTACGCACAGATCTGGTTTCAAGTGCACAACTATTTTTGAGACTCATTTCATGCTTCTGGAGCTCCCAGATTTGTGTGTAGATGGTGAGTTTACATGCTAGCAGAAGCTGGGTTGTCTGAGTTTTGCTCTGAGTCTAGTCTTTTTGTCCTCTAAACCAGTGGTTCTGAACCGTAGGGGTTCGATGAGTCGGTCTATAAAGAAAGCAGGGTGTAAAAATGATAAGAAAATGATGCCATGGTGGACAAATGAATTTAAAGAAGCAATAAAATTAAAAAATAAAGCATTTAAAGTACTAAAAGGTAATCTGATTTATAAGAATTTAATTGATTATAAAAGAAAGCAAGCAATGGTAAGGAGAACAAATAAGAATGCAAAAAGAGAATATTGGAGAAATTGTAGTACGATAGGGAAAGAAACAAAAATAGAAAAAAGAATGAAGGGCATAAAGAGAGAGTTTGAATATCCTATATTATTCAATATAATTACTATATTGAATAATAATATAGTAATTATATTTAATATAATTACTATATTAATATAATAAAATTATTCAATTATTATATTTATTATATGATAAATATAATAAAAGATGAAGATAATAATATTAGTGAAGAGCGAAGAAAAGGAAGAGAAAATACAAAACTTAAATATAAAGATGTATTACAGATTAATAAAGAAACAAATAGTTTGTTAAATGTTGAGTTTACCAAAGCCGAATTGAATTATGCATTTAAGAAGACAAAAAATACAGCACCAGGTAAAAATCAGATATATGGTTTCCCTCCTTCAACTTTGACAAATAATGATGAAATATCATTAAATCCTTAGGATTTGTTGTTGATGATGAGAGGAATAAGCACAGTTAAAGACTTGCTGGTAAATTAATTTGTTCCCATATTATGGAGGATGAACAGCGGCATGGAGGATCAGGCACCTGAAATATCCATTCTCTCCTCTCCTCATCCCATAATTTTGGGGAACAAAGAGCAACTGTTTCCAAATTCTCAACGATTCTTATGTGTGATAGCATGTAGATTTCCTTAATCCAGTAATCTGTTATATTTTACATTAGAACAGGATTTCCCACACAGCCCACACTCTCATCTTTTCAGGAAGTCTTAATTTTTGTGCCCTGCTATCATTCAGTTTCAGTCTTCTTATGCCACCAATGGAAAAATTATAAATACACACTACGTGTTGGAAACCTGTGTTTGGTGACTGACTTTTATTTGTCAGGCTTAAGTGACAAAAGTTGGAAAAAGATTCTCTTGGCTTTTAAAATGACAACAAAAAACAATGTCAGAAGACCTTGTTTATTGATTTATTTAACAATTTTGTTATTGCTTCTTTTGAAAAAAAAAATAAACAAAAAAGAAAAACAGCTGCCGATTAAACTGAATGTTACAAGCTTGACATATGAATTGTTTTACCGAGAAATCAATCAAAAGCGCCTCTCTGGCTGCAATGCACGTTCCTGACACAGGGGAACAGAATTTCACACAAGACCTGCCTTCGAACCACTCCGCCACCTAGTGGTCATTTTACAGTCCACGTAATCTCCTGTACCGCTCTAAAATGCAAAATATGTCCAGAAATAATTTTGGAATATGATAAGAAAGTGCTGAGATATTCCGTTTCAACTAAACTAACATATTTGCCACTTCGGCAAAAGCACAACGAGAAACGTAGAGGACAAAAAGACTAGACTCAGAGCAAAACTCAGACAACCCAGCTTCTGCTAGCATGTAAACTCACCATCTACACACAAATCTGGGAGCTCCAGAAGCATGAAATGAGTCTCAAAAATAGTTGTGCACTCGAAACCAGATCTGTGCGTAAATAGAGTTTTGTGTGGTGTGTACTTTTTCAACATTTGTAGGCGAAGGAGAAGGTTTATTTTCTTTTTACGTTTTACAAATCATGTTTCACAGACACAACTATCCAAAGTTACACACAAAGATGCTGACACGAGTTACAAATCCAGTAACACATGCACAGATATTTTTATAGATGCACAGATGCTGGAATTAAAAATGAGAACATCTAAAATATCACTGGAGGGTTAGTTAGTACAAACATCATAATGCCACAGACACGTTGGTGGTTAAAGCAGGACTGGTTTATCACGTTTGCACTAAACACTAAAACAATAGAAGACTCTTAACAGCAGCAACATTATGTAGGCGGACAAGCTGCATGAGAGCTACTTAGAATAATTAGTTATCTAATACAGTGCATAATGTGGAGAGAGCATCACACAATAGACCATTATTATTATTATGTAATGCTGATACTGTAAAAATGTTTTTCATGCAGGCTCTTGACTTTTGGACTTATGAAATGGACAAGAATCTCAACATTTGAGATTGATACAAAGCTGCCTTTGTGGCACACTGAGGAGCCCTGCTTGGCTCCAGTTCAAATCAGGAGTTATATGATTATGGCTGAATCATTAATTGTTCCTCTAATAAAGAATAATGCAGAGTGTGTTTGTGTGCAGGTATTGATGGAGGACCGCAGGACAAACCGCCTGGTGGAGAGCATGAACATCTTCGAGACCATCGTCAACAACAAGCTTTTCCTCAATGTCTCCATCATCCTGTTCCTGAACAAAACAGACCTGCTGGTGGAGAAGATCCGCACCGTGGACATCCGCAAGAACTTCCCTGAGTTCAGAGGAGACCCCCGTCTGCTGGATGACGTACAGGTGACTGATCAGAAACAGGTTTTTGTCTGCTACAGATTGTGAATCATGCTTTGTTTCAAGTGTTGCCTCTGCCAATATTCCTTCATGATTTGTTTTGACTGTAAGGAAGGAAAAGAAAACAGAAGAAAAGAAAGAAAGAGAAGGGAAGAGAAACCTCCAAAGACCAGCGATGACTTGGTTGTGTCTTTAAGAGACATTTGCTCTGGATGTTTTTGAGCCGTTGTGGCTTGTATGAAAAACATTCAGACCTCTAAAACTTTTCAACATTTGTCACATTATGACCACCAATCTCATTTTACAGCAATGCAACTAGAGAATAAATCTGGAGTGGAATTCTGATCATTTTATGTGATCATTGTGTCTCCACCAGACCAGATTTACTTCTTAACAGATGGAGAATAAACTCAAATAGACCATTTAATTAAATTTTTTTTTTTAACAGTTTATTATAGTTTTGCTGAATCGTTAATTACAATAATCGATTGGATTATTGTAATTCATTATATAAAGGCATGGATAAATCCCAGATGCAGCGTCTTCAAGTGATCCACAATGCAGCAGCTCGGCTTCTTACAGGTACCCGGAAGTGTGACCATATATGGTCCATACTGGCCTCCTTACACTGGCTGTCTGTTTCAAACTGAATAGATTTTAAGGTTCTTTAAACAACTGATACATTTTTAAATGTATCAGTTATCTTCAGGATCATTTCAAATTTCATTCTGTGTCAAGAACTTTAAAATCCAATAATCAGCTGCTGCTGAAAGTCCCTCAGACTGGACTCAAGACAAAAGGAGATCGGGCTTTCTCTGTTGCTGCTCCTATTCTCTGGAATAATCTCCCTTTCCAGATTAGATCTGCCCACATCCTGGATCATTTTAAATCGCTTCTTAAAACTCATTTTTATTCAATTGAGGCCTGACACCATACCTCTTCTGTTTTTTTTTATTGTTTTTTTTTAACTTATTACTCTTACTTTATTATTGTTTTTGTACAGCACTTTGTACTTCATCAGTAAATTTGACTTGACGTTGACCGTTTTTCTACACTTGCGACATATTTTCAATCAAATTTATTTTTGTACTTTGGCTGGGCCATTTCAACAGATGAATATATTTTGATCCAAACTATTCCATCACACTTCTGAAGGTTTCTCTCCAGTCTTTGGTTGTTGGAAGTTAAATATTTTTCAGCCTGTCAGGTCTTCTCCTCGCAGCTTCTTTGGTCCTGCTGCAGAAATTCTGTCTCAGCATCATGCTGCCACCATTTCTCACGAGTTAAATCTCTCGAGTAAACTCAACATTTTTATCATTTAGGTGGCTTTTTCAAAAAAATTTTAGATTACGGAATAGAATAGAATTTAAGAGAAAATAAAATATCTAAACAATTTGTTAGTGAAGTATGCATTCCTTTTTAGTTTATGGTTGGAACTGTAAAACAGTTGAAGATGTAGGAATACTTTAATTGAGAACTTGCCACACTGACTCACACTTCCTGTTCCTGCCTGCTTCCTGCAGAAGTTCCTGGTTCAGTCGTTCAGTCAGAAGAGGAGAAACAGGGGGAAGCCGCTGTTCCACCACTTCACCACTGCAGTGGACACAGAAAACATCCGCTTCGTCTTTCACGCTGTCAAGGACACAATTCTGCAGGAGAACCTCAAAGACATCATGCTGCAATGACTTTCACGCTTCTGTGATTGCAACTGTGACACCTGCCACCATTCCAGGCATGAAGGTCTTTGCTCTGACACTGATGAACCTATACAGACACTGACATGTGGAAACAGAGTGCATCTAACTGATATTTGTACCTGTGGATCCCAGCAGTTGCACATGTATGTTGACAACTGCTTTGAACCTCTGTAAATGTGCAACTGAGCTGAAAGGTGGGAAACGCCAACTATACCTGTGTTAGCACTGAGAGTTTCCTTCCCCTCATGTATATAAGACTGCTGACAACATTGTCACTAAACCGAGTCGGAGCACTGCCTCCTGGAAGCAGCATGAGCCAGATGGAAAGGCCTCCACCTCCACTACATGTGACCAGAGTGGAGGGTCTGGCCCCTGACTGGTCATATGCTGGGTTATGTGATAAAGTTGCACAAGTGTTCCTGTCAGTGAACTTTAGCAGAGAGAAGAAGCGAGAGACCCTATTGTGCTCCATATCTCCCTGTATTTTGCTCCCATCATCACACAAGAGAGAACAGCTGCAGAGAAGAAGTCTTATTCTTCTAATCTCCTCTCTCATCTCCTGTCTTCAGCAGTACAATGGACAGACTGTTCCTCTCGTCCCTTACCAGCACAAACTGTAGACAGACTAATTAGAGTTATCTTTGATGAAAAAAATACATAACTCCCGAGTTATACTCCTCTCATGATTTGTCTCCGTCTTCTTTAAATTCGGATTTCATTCGGGGCAGGTTTGAAGTATTTACTGGATAAATTTTGTTTTTTTCTACCTTGATTAGCTTTACCTGTATTTTAGGTAAATATGAAGGGAACAGTGGAAAATATCTAGGCTGAACTGTAACTGACCTATTTCCCATGCTATTGGTTGAGATTTCAGACTTGTGTTGCAGTTTGAAAGATATAAACAGGTTTAAAGTATCCAGGAACGTGAGCAATTGCTAGACCTAAGAAAATCACTGTTTACATGTTTGGCAATACATATTATTTTATACATGCAATACCCCCTCTACATTTATTGATGCTAATGGTAAAGATGTGCAAGAACACATAAACAAATCTTTTTTCACAGTGGTATAAAAAGTAAGCAGAAATCAACTTTTAAATTATTTGCTTTTATTGAAAAAGTCCTAATTTTCTGAATGGAAATCAGACATAAAATTGAAAAAAATCAGAAAGAAAAATCACCATCACTGAAAGTGTTTTTTTTTTATTATTATTTTTAGGAATGACTATTCAAAAACAGAAAATTAGATCAACCAGACTTTTTTTGTCTTCAAGAGACTTTCTTGATTTAGTACATCAGCGTATCGTCAGCTAAATGATTGAACTGGATCCCATAATGCCCAATAATTTTACCAAGAAGAGCCATGTCTTTACAGACAAGAGAACTGGCACAAACACCACACCCTGTGGTACACCACAGTTAACTCAAATATATGAGAAAGATTTATAAATAAATGATGCAACATGATTCATCTCTTATCATGCATTTTATACATCTTTACCAATGGTAGCAATAAAAGTAGAAGGTGCTGTATTTATTTTTCTGAATATTTTCTTTTCGTTATGCCAAAAATGGCACAGACCGTTTGCTCAAGGAAAGATGGCAATTTTAAATACTGACATTTTACTAGTGAGGTAATTCATAAAAAATCAAACAAAAACTGCATAATTTTCTAGTAAAAAAGTTCCAAAAATCTAAGCTGATTGCTACCATTTTATAAATAAATTATTTCAGCTATTTAAATATTAGAGGACCTTGCTTGCAACATTTTAAAGCACTGTCCATTAATATATTTTAGGATGGAACCGAGGAAACGTGCTGCACTGAAGCAGTCTGATTAAACTATTTGAATGTGCTCTCATCACTCTGTTTTATGTCTGCTTTATTGAAGAAAAACATTCAAACTCGAGCAAGCTGATTCATGCAACAGAGACTTTAGCAGCTTCAGAAGCCAATGTTGATGGAAATGGATAATCTAAAAGTAACAGTTGATTCCAGCAGTGCAACACAGCCTGTAAATGTAAATAAACATCCCTGATTAGCTTTTGTCAAATTAGAAGGGATGGAAAAAAAATTCTCACCCAAAATGCTTTGAACAACTGAAGGTTTGATCTCTTCATTATGCATCAGCAGTAATTCAAATTATTCTCCAAGGACATTTAATCTTCTGTACCTTTAGTTGCATCAATCACGAGGAAGATGACATGAGAGTGCATTAAACTGCCTTTTCAGGTTGTGAAGAATGCACTCAAGACCAAAATGTGAACAAATTCAGATAAATAAACGTGTTACTGTTTGTCAGGTTTGCCAGAGACAGTCAACTACTATATGCCTTTGTAAATTTGCTAATTAAAGTGGAGAAGTTTTTTTTAAATTTTTGACATGACTGAGTCGTATTGTGCTACGGCAGCAGGAAGGACACCCGGCCGGCTGCTTTTCTCACACCCAGTGTTTCATCTGCTTGGCCAAGAGGTGGTCTCACTGTAACACACACCTTAATGAAAATTCTGTTAGTCGGTTTTCAAAGTGGTTTCCTTTTATACACTGAATACTGTAAATTTCTGACTGACACTGTGTGTATATAAGTATTACCATGCAAAAGTGTCCAATAAGCTCCCATTTCTTTAAATTTTCCTTTCAAGGGGCCAGTACCGTGCTATATATAGCAGTTCCAGCATCGTTCTCAGTTCAGATCTTAGTCACTTTCAGAGGAGCGATTATTGGTACAGCCTCTTAAGTCTATGAGACAGAAAAATCCAGACAAAAAAACTTTTCAAATTCAAAGTAGCAACAAACCCATTTAGAATGATTTGTTTTTTAGGCATTTATCAAATTTTTTCTGTTGAAAATATGCAAGAATTGATGGAAAAACATTATGCTTTTAGCAGTAGAGTTGTTTGCTGAAGACCTGGCATACAGTGGACATTTAGCTGAAAGATAATCCATCTTGTGGGTTGCTGGGATTTTTGATTTTCAGGTATGATTGTAACTGGTATAAAGTTAACTAACCCTCCTTCTCTCACCCTTGTTCTGATTTTTCCTGAGTGAGTGTCGTTGCAATGGATGTTGGAGAGGAAAACGTCAAAATGAAGTAAAACAGTTTTAAAAAGAGAAAAAATCAGGAGATTTCTTCAATGTTTATGTTTCTATTTTTTTTTTCTGCTGCCTTTCCTTTTTGCTCTGTGGTGAAATAAACTGCCTTTTGCTGACAGGCTGTTTCTTTATTTTGTCAGTGTAAAGGTCAAGACCCTGGAGTTGGACAACTGATGACTAGAATGGGGGAAAAAAACCTTTCCTTCATTAATGGTTTTCTCATTTCCACGGGTGGATCGAATCAGCATCTATATGATCACAGGGAGCTTTCATGGAAATCCAAAAAGCTCCTGATAAGTAATGTCAGACTGACTGTAGGCCTCATTCTACATAATGTAGATTGCTCATCAGCCACAGCTATCAGGCCACTGAGCAGAAGAGCAGAACTGGAGTCGGGCAATATCTGAGTTGCCCAGCAGTCTGACCTTTCCTTTGGCTGTTAATCTGACTGGCTTTGCTGCATTACAGGCCCCAGTCTCAGGAGACAAGGAGGGGGTTCAGAAACAGCCAGACCACAACTTTTTCTCTGTTGTTTTAGAAATCACCCATCAGCTTGGATTTATTTACACAGGAAGTGAGCCAAATGTAAATGAAGGTCAATAAATACATGCACATCAGACAAACTCATGAGAAAGTGTGAGCTCTCTGGCAGCAGAAAGAAATGAGAAGAAAAATCAGGACCCAGTGAATGGCACAGACTGGGGGAGGGATGGACAAAAGGAGGAATAGGGAACACAAGAAAAAGTAAAAGGAGGGAGGGAGGATGTTACGTTTCCTCTGATCCCACTTCCTGTCTCAATCCCAAAATGGTGCTACTGTAAGAGCGACATCTCTGGGACTGTTTCTCTTCCCAACCAATCACACAAACACACACACATCAGAGAAACCTGCAGAGGCCTCTTGTGAGGTCCTACAGAAGGAAAAAAAGGCAGAAAACATCCCCAGCAGACTGAATTAAAAGGAAGCTTTAGTTTGTAGAAGTTGAGTGCAGGACATTTTGTCCTCATGTTTCTCTCCAACATGGGGACAATAAGTCGTTTTCTATGTGTTTAAAGTCTGCAGTTAACATCTAAGCACCAGCACAGAAATGGAGCACACATGTTCATCTCAAACTAACACCAACTTTTTGCTAAATATCATATCTTGCATCACACTGCTTGAACTTTTTCAGATCTTCACTTTTGAAATATTGCAAACGCAAAAACCTTTTTTGTTTTACTGAAAATTTATGCGGTAGAGAAGAGATTGGTTGCAGATCCTCCAGAGTTAGTGCTGAGTTTATGTTAGGCCAGCACAAACTGGTGAAAGATTTTTAGTGGGAAACAAAATGGCATATAGTTTTAAGAACTTTTTATAAATATAAATTTAAAAAGTATGCTGTGTGTGTACATGTGTCTGTACCCCCATTATTCTGATACACCTAAAAAAAACAGCATTCCAACTGCTCTCAGTAGTCTCTCAGAGTCCACCTTACTATTCCTGTCCTCCCAGTGGACATTACTGAATGGAGGGAACAAGAGTGTTAATCTGCAGAAGCTCTGCAGGCCTCTCAGACTCTCAGATTCTTCACAAGCCATGAAAGGAGACACTGCACACATGGGAAAAAGAACTCTGCTCAGAACTGGACAAAAAAAACTATTCTAACCAGGACCCTGAACACACCTTTTTCACTCTGGTGGCCACATCATGCTGTGGGATGCTTCTCTTAAGCAGGGACAGGGAATCTAATCTGTGTTGATAGGAAAATGGAGTTAAATACTGGTTGATGTTGAAAGCAACCACTTATTGCCCTCCCACTTCATGATGGACAAAAATCCAGACAAAAAAAATTATGTTAACAAATCAAGAACTGTTCATCTATATTTATTACACCTAAGAACTGCTGTGGTTTTCTAGAGTTTGAAAGATGTAAGAAAAGAAATACAGTGGACTCTCCCTTTAGGTATATAAACCAATGGCAGTTTTTAAATTGTCTTCATTCTACTAGAATAGGATTGTTTGTAAAGAGAGACAATCCGTCACTTATAATTGACTTGTTTATGATTATATTACATTCCCTTTGCTACACAGAAAATTCAGGGTGAGTTGAAATGTGGAGCTAGACGTTCAATGCAGTGACAACACAGGAGAAGGGAAGGAACTAACAAGTGCAAAAAATACAAATAAAAAACACTGCAACTAGTTGTTCCAAGCCCTCAGACCAGTGAATCCCATAGATACCAACTTTAATTGTAAAATGTGCCATTGCCTAGCATCAACTATGTCCTGCAGAAACACTAGGGCACCTGTAGGGCAGAACTAAACAAAAACTTTAACTTCCATCATTAGACTATCTTCCCAAGACACCTTGACAACCACCTGTAATTGCCCAGTGTAAGATCACTAAGATGTATGCATTGCTCATGACTATTTGGACATCCTTCCGCTGTTTGGAGAATCTATTGAACTCAGTATATGCACAATTTGCAAAAAATGGCATAGAAGTGTAAGAAGGAATGACTCCATTCTCAGTTTGCTATGAAGATTCATCAGCTTTAGTGCAAAGATTAAGATTGTTTAAATATTCAGGCATTAAAGTTTGTACAAACTGCCATGAAGTTTCAGAGATTTGAATTGTTTTTAGATGGCAGTCTGCATTGTTCTCTCAGACTAGCCTTTAGCGACAGCCTTAGGACCAACCAGTCTGAAGGCACGTGGCCTTTGGTGCCTAACTCCAATCCTACTATCATGCAGTTTTTTGAATAATCCCTGCTTCCAGATAGTGAAAATAATAAATGTTTTGATACCAGGTATCTGCAGGGCTGGTGGACAAGGAAGCAAGTAAACCGTGCAGAGTTTTGGGCCAAGAGGACTGATTTTGGACATCACCGTTCAAGGTGAAGATCCCAGGAAACTTAATGACCAATGTGATTTTAAAGCTGCTACAGGATAAACTGACAATCCTTCTGAAAATCAGCTAATGTAATTAGTAGACTATTGCCTTCTGGTTTTTGTTTTGTTGTTTTCCACTTTTAGATACTCCACCAGCTTGCATGGAGAACACAGTGATGCACAACAGCAGATGCACATAGGTTCCATGTTTTTGCTGACCCAGGCACAGGGTTTGTAAAACTAAAAAATATTAACAGTTTTTATTGTGATACCTTTCAGTTTGAATTACAAGAAAAACTGCTTACAGCACAGTAAAATGGGGTTTTTCACCTACTGTATGTGTTCTGTATTATTTACATTATTGAATTGACTTTTAACATTTCAGGAAGATCTGTTAAACAGTTTGACATGGACAGATTTGCCAGTTCATTGGTTTTTCTTTCCTGCCTGTCTGCGTGCATGTGTGTGAGTGTACTGCTGTTGGTCTTATGACTCTGGTTAGGCTGATGTTTCCCTGAGGCTGATTTGACTGGACCTACAGCTGAACTCTGATATTTAATAATGAGCAGAGCACACCAATGACACCCACAAGGACAAGCCAAACCATTGAATCATCTAGCAAACTATCAACAACTAGTGGCTCATTAGATGGTTATTTGGCCCTGACACATCACTGCTCCCAGGTCTACGGCATCATTAAGCCACTTCTGTTTAAGTTCAGCCTGACAGTGAAATAAACTAGATATCTTGGATATGGTTTAACAAAATTAAACCAAGCAAACATCCTCCAGAGGACGTTTTCAGGGACATACTCCATATAGCAGAAAAGTGAATGAAAGAAAATCAAAAAATATGCAAGTAAAGATTTTATTTTCATGTTTTCATTTGAAATATGACAGAAATTTAAATCATTAAAAATTTGTCATATATATATATATATATATATATATATATATATATATATATATATATATATATACAGTTAGGGCCAGAAATATTTGGACAGTAACACAATTTTCGTGAGTTGGGCTCTGCATGCCACCGCATTGGATTTGAAATGAAACCTCTACAACAGAATTCAAGTGCAGATTGTAACGTTTAATTTAAAGGGTTGAACAAAAATATCTGATAGAAAATGTAGGAATTGTACACATTTGTTTACAAACACTCCACATTTTAGGAGCTCAAAGTAATTGGACATATAAACATAACCCAAACAAAAAAGTTTTTTCTCAATATTTTGTTGCGAATCCTTTGGAGGCAATCACTGTCTTAAGTCTGGAACCCATGGACATCACCAAACGCTGGGTTTCCTCCTTCTTAATGCTTTGCCAGGCCTTTACAGCCGCAGCCTTCAGGTCTTGCTTGTTAGTGGGTCTTCCGTCTGAAGTCTGGATTTGAGCAAGTGAAATGCATGCTCAATTGTTAAGATCTGGTGATTGACTTGGCCATTGCAGAATATTCCACCTTTTTGCTCTCATGAACTCCTGGGTAGCTTTGCTGTATGCTTGGGGTCATTATCCATCTGTACTGTGAAGTGCCGTCCGATCAACTTTGCAGCATTTGGCTGAATCTGGGCTGACAGTATATCCCGGTACACTTCAGAATTCATCCGGCTACTCTTGTCTGCTGTTATGTCATCAATAAACACAAGTGACCCAGTGCCATTGAAAGCCATGCATGCCCATGCCGTCACGTTGCCTCCACCATGTTTTACAGAGGATGTGGTGTGCCTTGGATCATGTGCCGTTCCCTTTCTTCTCCAAACTTTTTTCTTCCCATCATTCTGGTACAGGTTGATCTTTGTCTCATCTGTCCATAGAATACTTTTCCAGAACTGGGCTGGCTTCTTGAGGTGTTTTTGGGCAAATTTAACTCTGGCCTGTCTATTTTTGGAATTGATGAATGGTTTGCATCTACATGTGAACCCTTTGTATTTGCTTTCATGGAGTCTTCTCTTTACTGTTGACTTAGAGACAGACACCTACTTCCCTGAGAGTGTTCTGGACCTCAGTTGATGTTGTGAACTGGTTCTTCTTCACCAAAGAAAGTATGCGGCGATCATCCACCACTGTTGTTGTCTTCCGTGGACGCCCAGGCCTTTTGAGTTCCCAAGCTCACCAGTCAATTCCTTTTTCCTCAGAATGTACCAGACTGTTGATTTTGCTACTCCAAGCATGTCTGCTATCTCTCTGATGGATTTTTTCCTTTTTTTCAGCCTCAGGATGTTCTGCTTCACCTCAATTG